ACTGGAGCAGAATCAAACTTGTATGTGCATACAGAAAAAACCCAAAAGGTATCTGCCAGATATCTGCCAGGTTTTTCACAAGAGATTGAACTGAGCATTCTTTCACGGAGGTCATGGTTTAGAGCTCATTGAAATTGATAGGCAAACTGCCATCCATTTTAATGAGCTTTCTGTCAGTCTTAAGATGTCCAAATGCCATTTCTGCCTAATTCTTGAAATTAGAAACATCTTATCTAAAGCTGCCAAAACAAACAAGATCAGACATTTGATGAAGACACCCAAAGATGAAAACTCTGATATGAGGGCAGTCTCATTTGCCTCCATCCACATCTTTATTATGAATCTCATGTTTCTTCTTTTCATATGTTAATTGTTAATAATTCCTGATGGAATACAACATTCATTAAGTACTTCCTAATTCATTGAACATAAGTTTCATCAGGCAATTTTAATCATATGAAAATCATTCTAAATTCATTTTGATAAACAATTTCCTGTTGCAGTCTTGTAAGCTTCCTTCTACACTGTCTCATTTGAAGCAGTATCTCTGGTTATTCTCCTGTCTAACTTTCATCATTGCAGATGCCACCATATTTCCATAAATCGTTGTATTTATTTATGTAACTGCTGCCAACTGCTGAAGAGTTATGTTTCCTTTTTTTGTGGAGAATTGATTATCTGAATTATACTGAAAAAATGGTTTCACTTCATCCATCAAAACCCTGCCTTCCTGAAACTCAGATCTTGCAAATGTGGGAATACTCAGGAGTCACTAAAGCACTTCTTTATTAAACTGGCTTTAGGAAGTTGTCATATGTTAGATATTTAAGATAAATAGGCATAATCTCTTTAAGTATGGAACGGGAAAGCTACTCATAATACATTTGACTCATTCAGTCTGCCATTATCAATACCAGCAGTTCTCAAATTTTTTACACTAGGCGGCCTTCCCTTTGCCTGAAATACTTTGCGCCTTTCCCTCCCTTCCTCCCCAGCACCCTCCTGCCTCACCTGTACATCCGTTTCATTCATATACTGAAACATGGTTAGCTGTGTGCACGCACACACCATGTACCAAACTCCACCTGCACAGCAAACCCGTTTTACATGCATATTTTCAGATATGTGTATTTGCATATGTGTACATATTGGTGTGTGTATGTGTGTGTGTACATGTGTGTGCATGTTTACACACACGTGCGCGTACATATGTAACGAATGTGCACAGACAGGCAGGGGAACAGAAGGCAATTATTCTTATACAGATGAAAATTTCATGGAAGACCATTGAGTTTCAGTACAAATGTGCTTTAAAACATATCTACTCTCTTTCAAAGATCAATACATTCTTACTTTTGTTTCAATGATACAAGATGTTTTACTGACCTACATTTCTGGTTGATGTTACTCCATTCCTGGGCCAAGATGGTAAAAACCACCCGCTCTACACGTGCTAAGAAAGGAGTGAAAGAAGAGGAAAGCATGCAATAGCAATACAGTTGAATGACAAACATAATTCAGTTGTTTAAAATTCAGAGACACCTGCCCTCATTGCAACCAAAGAAGGAACTCAGAACTATGAACGTGTATTTATTTACAGGCAGAATTTGTTCCTGACAACTCTGTTTTTTTCATCCCTATTCTGTTTCTGAGTCTTATTGCCAAAAAAATGTAGTTCAAATGCATGACTTGTTATTCACTGTCTGCAAGGATAATAAAGATGTTCTCTGCCTGAAAACAGAAAGCAGGGCCTCCTGTGATCATGAGGAAGAGAGAAGCATTACGAGGAGAACCAGCTATTTTTATTAAAGGTGTTTGGTCCATGCAGCTTTTGTCAGGAAATCCAAATAATTTGCTCCCACTTGCTTTCAGTTTGAAAAAATGGCAGCCTCGTGCTACAAGAAAGAAGAAACAGCCTTGTTTCTCTCCAGTGCTTCTTTTGTAGGAAGGAGACAGACACACTGTAGCTGTCCACAATTCCTGCATTTAAAGCTAGAAACCGGCATGTCCTGCCAAAAGAAATTAAACGTAATGAAAATGTGTTTCTGGTCAGAGACTGCATTTGTTGTATCACAGTATGTGCGTCCTGAGGGCTACACGATTTTGGTATTTAAGCATTCTTGGGACTGGTTTTCCATTGCTTTGTCTCAGCGCTGTATTTGTACCTGCTGCTGCGCAGGTGTGAGTGCTGGCCTCAGCAAACGGGGAATTTCTGAGTAACAAGCATCTTGCGTTCACTAGGCACAGGTATAAAAATCAGGTCTACTGACTTCAGCAGAGAAGGCATTCTTTTTTCTCATATATATTCAAAAGACAAGAAGATCCTAAAGTATCTCCAGCTGGATGATGCACCTTCCCCTCACGCTACACACCACCATCTTTCCACCCAAGTTCTGGTACTGTAGGACACCAAATCTGTTGGCGGGACTTCCCAGAGCATGTGTTTGTAATCACTGATAAGGGGAGTGCACCATCAGTATGCATTAGTCTCTCCTGCCAACTGATTCAGTCAGGGTCCAGTAAAGGCAATCCACTGGCTTGAAACACAATGACTTCATCCGGTGCCTCTCTCTGCCTTAACTGTTTTCATCCAAAATCCCCTCTGAAGACAAATCTAGATTTTTTTCATAGGTTTGTTTCCCCCACCCTTACATTTTGCATTAACAGAGATGAGGTGATATAAGCAACAGCTTTTCTTTAAGGGGGGGGTGGGGGAAGAAGATTAAAACCTACACTATTCAGATCCAGCCTGATCTTTGGACTTTAGAGAGGCTGAGTCCACTGCTGGCCTAAAGGTGCTGTTAAACTACTTTACGTCATTCTCTTCTCCAGTCACAGACCTGCCAGGCCATGGAACTAGTCTCAAACATAAAGCAAACCCATCTTTCATCTGCTCCGCTTTGCCTTGCTCTGCCAGCTCCATGTTGTCCACCAGCAGTTGGGAAATACAAATTTTCTTTTCTCCTTGTCTCGTACAGGGGGAAGACGGCGACCCCGTCTCCAGCAGGAAACACCAGGTGCTGTTGTTGCTTCTTCAGGCAACCAAATCTTATCAAAAAACTAATTGACCAGATGTAATCCCCTTGATTACGGTAGTTTAATATTTCTACCTGTGCTTGTACTTTAACGTGCTCTTTCTGGCCTCACAGTTTTTGCAGCTGAACTGTGAAAGATCAGCAGCTGAGCTTCAGTAGTATTCCTCCCATTTTGCATGCTGCCTTCGCTGTTGTGTAGAGCTGCTGAATACAAAATGAAGCTGCGAGAGTGCGTTTGCTCTATAGCTAGCAAGGCATGAAGTACTTCTTTCTACAGCTGCGGAGTACATCCAGAATATTCATAACAGTGTCGCAGGAGATGTGATTCAATGTGTGACATTTAGTGTGCTATTGTGTGACACCAGATGATTAATGTTCACAGCAAAACACAGGCTGGTTTAAATAAACAAAATTAAATATATTTTTACGATTATAGAAATCATGTGTTACATCTCTGAGGGAACATCAGCTGCTGCTCCCAAATGCTTCATATTTGTTGGCTTGCTTTTAAATGCTTTGATTGTTCACTGGATTTTCCTACCACATAAATCCACTGACACTTTGGCCCAACAAGGCGAGTCAGTGATTTGGACAGTAGCTTGGGACACAGTGGGTAGCTGCACATTGGTCTCCATCTTGTTTTTGATCAGCAATTCACAGCATCATATTGTTCCCATTTTCAGCCTTAGAAAGACATCAGGAGAGTTTAAAAGGGCGGGGAGCTTAACTCAGTGCCAAACTAGCAAGATTCTTCCTTCCCTGCCCCAAGGGCATTAGACCAACTGTACTTGTTGGTCACTCAGCACGAGGGTTACTTTCTCTGTTCCGACAATGTTATATTCTGTAGAATGAGGCACTTGGGCTACAGTCAAATGGGTGGATCAGAGATTCTGAGTCCATTGTGAGCCCTGGCAGTGCTCCAGCTGCATATTGGAGCAAAACCGTGTGATTCAAACCACTATCCCTCTGCATCTTTCCCCTCCGTGGGAAAGAAATGCAGGCATGCAAACCACTAGACCGTATCCCACGCTAGTCAGGTCCTGTCTTTGGTGACCACAGGCACAGAAGCCGAGGGGAAGCCAAAAGGAGTACCAGCCCCACAGCAGAGGCAGAGCCACCATCTCTCTTCGGAGCCCAGATCTCAGCTAAGAAGCAGGTAAAACAGCATTTCCTACCTAATAGCCTTGCCCCATGTGAAACAAAATCTTAACCTTCAAGCTTCTAGGTAAGTTCTGAGATGGAAGGCAGAAGCAAAGACTGTGATTTCATGCTCCTCTACCAACTGCGTTGGGGAAAACTGAGACCTAACTGCTGGGTCTGCGCAGGTTTAGAGAGCGTAAGTCACCAGCAGCATTACTGCCATCCTTACAATGGCATGACACACAAAAGCACATCACTGCCATAGATCCCCCTCGGTTTATTAGGAGATTGTGTTTTCTATACGTCAGTGCTGAACGTGAACACACCTGCAAAATGAATAATTTCCAAGCTCCATTTAAAAAAAGACTTTGTGCAGAAAATCTAAAAAATAAGCAGGGGTTTACAGAGCTGAAGGAGATACAAATGGAAAACATGTTTTCCACTTGAAAACCTTTGTCTATGGAGTTGTCAGGATGCGTTTCCTGTGGAAACAGCGAAGACTTCGATCTGCCTTTTTCCTGAATACTGTTGAGATTATCATGCTTACAATGAAGGGCTGAAAATGGGCTGCCAGATGGTTAATGGCCCTTCTGAAAAATAGCCTTCTATGTTGCTTTTTAGAAGTCACTTGTCATGGAACTATCATAATATAATCTCTGTACTCTTGTCGTTCATAGAAGGAAACGTATTTTAAGCAAGTGTTATCAAGGCTAAGAGAGCCTGAATTAACTTGTCTTAAAGATACTTCTTAGCTCACTCCAACAAATCCACTAGCAAGTTGCTGTATCTAGAAAATATATGCAGAGTAATACAGAGGCAGCGTACGAGGGAATGACTTCTGCCAGTTCCTCAAAGGGGGACTGCGGCTCCTCTTCAGGGCCCTCTATGTTGACAGTGGCCGGGTGGCTGGCGAGCTTTGCCACCACCCATCGTGTTAAACACCGATATCCCCCAGGATCCTCTGCCTTCATCTGTCTACTTTGATTTACCTTGGAAATTCTCTGTGCAATGGCTGTAGGCAGAGGAATACACTGCCAACACTCTCAGGGGGCCTGAATTAATCTCATTTAACTTCAGGGACCTAAAGACAGGAACCCAGCCAAGCTAGGCTCCCTGAACAGACAGGCAAACAACCTTTTTATTCCTTTATAGGCATCCTGCACCAAGGAAAAGTCCTCCAGCCTTTAAACCAAGAGGCACAGAGTGGTTTCATTGTTTTGTACTATCTTATGGTTTCATACAAAGATACTTAGGTTAGGTTTTGCTTACTTATTGTAACATAAAACAGTAACAGTATTTGTGATTTCCATAGCATGTCCACATTTAATGGAGTGAACACACACGTGCACGTACAAAATGCAACTTTAAAACTTGCATGCTTATAGACTTGACTTTTATGTTTGGGCTTTTTTTTGTAGAAACACTGTGAATAGAAGACCATTTCATATTTTCTGGTAAGTGGCCTGAAGTCATTTTTGCCAATTGGGCAAAAAATGAGTTCTTACTAATGACACAAAATCACAGGTATGTCAGTTCCCACCCAGTGTTTTGTACGCAGGTTTCAGGGCCTGACAGAAATCTGCACGTGGTCCAAAACTCACTGAAACTAATGGCAATCTTTTTTCTATGGACTACAAAGGGATTTGGAACAGGCTCCAGATGACTCTGATTAAATGTAGCTTTTCTGATGATGATCTTTGCTATGGGTGTTTTGGACACTACGTGATTGTTTGCTTTTTTTAAATATTTAAGGTTATGGAACCAGACATTCCCTAATTTCTGCTCAGAGGTAACCGCACTTTCTCCCTCAGGATGGCTTACGCCTACCTTGTTGTAATCGTCATAGTGAAGATGAAGAACTGTTAATGTCCTCGGCTTTTGTAAGTGCTCGATACAAGGGAAGCTATTTTACTCATGGTTCCAAGCTCTCTGGCCCACATGTGTCACGATTCAAAAGGTCAGTAATCAAGAGATCATCTCCTCAGAATGCTTTGTTTCATAGATATATACACATTAAACTTGGAACAGCACTGGAAAATAAATGAATTAAAAGTGCTCAAGGTTAGCCTGTTCTACTTGCACCTTATGAAACCATAGCAGTAGAAGTAGCACTGAAATATTGTTACAACTCGCAAATTTCTGTTCAAAAAATTTGAAGTGAACTTACAAACTGCAGCACATTGTCCCTGATTTCTCTTTTTGTTTAGACTGAAGAGAAAATTCTGTAGAAGAAAAATCAATGGAGACACATATGTAAAACAAGCAGCAGCAACATTAGAATTGGCCTCTTTTTACCTATCTGCTTTAACAGCAGCTCAGCTGATGAAGACGTATCCTTGGTTCTGAGTTGGCAGGAGAGTTTTACACGGTCCTGCTCCTGGAAAATGACAGACTGCTACTACATGCTCGAAATTCCAAGCTGCAGCCTAACCCAAAGAGAAAGAGTCCCAGGAGAGCTGATGAATTTTATGACGAGTATTTCTCTTGTAATAAACTTCAAAAATTTTAGTAATTTCTGTGTTAAACTATGCCAGCTTTCTGTATGTTACCTTTAGAAATATGCCACTTTACAAAGTATACTGACAGTTACAACAGCCTCAAATAAATAGGCTTTTTGTATCAGACTGTTGGTTACTGATGAGATTTGGCATTGTCCAGACCACGATCCTTACAGGTCTCAGGGCAAGACGGACTTGTTGAGGTCTTTTGTTTCTTAGTATGTTTTGACATATTTCTTTCATTCTGTTCAGGCATTGCTATCATTTAGTTACCACTTGTAAGCATTCCAACACTGCAAGTTGCTTGGTTTTAAAACATGACTCTTAACAAATACATGTAAATAGAGTAAAAATGTTAACCCGTGATTAGGTCTAAAGTCTTTTGGTAGCATTAGAATACTTGAAGGAATCGTTGAAGCCCATCTAAACAAATTGTTCTTAAAGAAGAAACAGGATTTTTCCATGGCCGATTCCAATCTCTTAATGAGACCACAAAAGACATGATTTAGACACAATCCAGATTTCCTCTGTGTTTTTTTTTTTTTCTTCCTTATTTAAAAGCACTTCTACACAAGTTCAGAATCATTTTTTCTGTAGGAATTCTTCCCTCAGTTTGTCTATAAGATAACTCTTCCATAGGGAAGAGAAGATGTGTGTTTATGAGGGCTAGATAGTGAAACAACTGGCTATCAGTAAAGCATGGGTTATATCTGGAACATCATTCATATTGTGATTCACTGCAGCTGAAAAGATAAAAACTCAGGCAACGGGCTGAATTCCCTAGCTGCAGGAACAATTTCAATCTTTTTCCTCAGCCAGGTCCTAGTAGACCTAGAATTTTACTACCACTGTCTGCCAGATTGGTTTCCAGAACACAGTGTTGCAAACACATCATTAAGAAAGAAATGTTTCAGATTATTTGATCACAGTTGAAAGTGGAGAGTTCCATGAAGATTTTTGCATACAGCTGCCAACATTTTGAGCTTTGCTGTGCTCGGTTTGGAGTTGCACCTATCTGAAAACGATTACCTGCCTGACTTCCAGGCACAGCTATTAATACAGTTTGGAGGCTGCATTTGTAAGGTGTTTTGGAAAAGTCTGAACAATTTCTAAAATAGCGAATGGAGCTGAGACTCAGCTATTGTTTGGATAATCCATTTATCTTCACCACTTTTCTCCATTTACCTACCTGCCAGAGTGACTGTGAGTAAGCCTGATATTCTACATTAGCCTTACAGCCTTGACTGTGCTAGTCTGCAATAAACTGCAATTTAAACTGCATTTTATTGTATTACTTTTGTCTATCTTTTTATTTGGTTTGCCTAATGCCTAGAGCAATTGGTCCACGACTCAGGCTTCTAATTAGTGCTGTGAAATGAAAAACATTCATGTGGATATTGTTGTAAGAGCAGTACTATATAAAGAGAACGTCACTTGAGAAGCCCTGGTAGACAGGGGTAACAGATACATAGTGTTGCTCATGAGTTTTACAGTACCAACTCTGTTTGTGTATTGTGAATGGTTTCTCATGTGTAACTTTGTTTTATAGCTCTTAAGCAATGCCAGCTGGAAACCAAAGACAAGCTACTGAGCCAATTAACAAAGGTCCCCAGTAAGCAGGCAGAGCCTTCATTCTGTCTGGACCCCTGTAACTACTGCAGCTTGATCCAAAATTCTTGGGACTGCAGAAAGTTTTACGAGCTAAATTAATCTACAATTTCTCATCAACTGTGTCGGTAGACGCAGAGTAGCTCACAAGGGAAGTCAACTTACTTCTTGCTGGTATTATCTGAGTTACTAAGATACTGTTTTCCTCCTCTCTGGCACTGGGGTCTGGTGGTAAACTATCTCATTTTAGTCAATATATTTCCATTTTCCACTGTAGGGACAAAAGCAAAGATTGCCTATTAAAAGGGACAAAAACAACTCAAGAATTAGCGTGTAAACACCGCTTTTGGAGTGTGTCTTGTTGTCTTTTTTAGAAAATCCTCATAGGAAAAATATTGCCGCCTCCCCTGGAAGAGAGCAGAACACCTGGCAGTGGTGTAACCTCACTGCACAAGGGGAGAACATGCTGAGAATCTGATCATGCAGAAACTCTAGTGGCTGTACATAAGGCAGCGAGGAGGGAAATAAAAGAGGTAAGCAAAAAAGGAGCAACAGAATAATAGGGCCAGCATATCAATGACTTCAACCCTAATTATTTCTCTTGTAGTCAAGAAAACGTGTCTCCTATTGTAGCACTGACACTCTGAAGTAACCACAGTACAGCTCTACTGCTGTTCATGGAGATGGGTTGGAAAAACCCCAAACTTCTGCTTTTATTTCACCCCACACCAAGTACACAATGCAATCACCCAGGCTACGAATTGGACAAAAATTCCCCTATGAGCAATGAACTTAACCCAGCAATCCGTTATCAAGAATCAGAGAAAAGTTTGCAAGACAAAGAAATGGGCGTTTTTCTTTGTTTCCATTCCCCTGTCTCAATTATTAATCTCAGGCACCCGGGTCTAACTATGCTCTCAAACTCAAGCAACTCTCCCTGATTTTACAAAGACTTACATACAGTTGAGTCCCAGTCAGGACATTCAGCTTTCCAACACTCCTGTAAGATTACCGGCAATGAGAAAGTACCTCTCAGCTTCTTAGGATAGAGTGACATCTTGTGGTTTCTTCTTTTGTCCATCATTGATAAATAAAAATTAGCCATGAAAGCTTTGACTGTTTTTTTGTTTGTTTGTTTGTTTCTGGTATAACAATAAGATCTTATTTGTTTGAGTAGTATCATGTACTTGACTCACAGAAACTGATTGTTTAGAGTTTTTTTAAAAGTCAGTCTAGCTCCCATTAAGAAGTACAGGTGTTATTGTCAGACACAACAGTTTACTTTGTCATCAAGGCTTTTGGAAGAATAATGAAAATTAGTGCTTGAAACAATAACAAAAACATTCAAATTCATGCAACATGACAAATTTTTGTTTCAATGTCGTACTGATCTGGAAAAATTGGTTGGTGCTCATGGTCACGTAGAAGTGAGATCTTCTTAGTCAAGTCAGTCAAACCCTAGTGGTAGCACCACTGCTAAAAGGATTCGTAGGGAAAATACAATTTCCAGTTGCAGCTCTGAAAAGCATTTCCACCTGCACTCAGGTAGATGTATGTAAGGAAGACAGAAGATGACAGCGTTAGGGAGCTGCATCTCATGCTTAAGCTCCATCTGCATCACAGAAGGATCCCAGTAGACACTGCACATCATGGGTGACTTACACAGCACAACTATAGAAGTTTCAGTAATTTATTTTCTGATATAGCCTCCAACACAAAATACATTTTTAAATTTTTTTTAAGACTATACACCTAAACTCACATACGAGCCACTATTGACAAATTCCCCTTACCAAAAAAATCCAAAGACAAAATTATTTTGCTAGTTTTGTCTTGAAAAAGCAACAGCATCTTTGAAAAGAACA